CTGAAAGTCTCCCTTTAGTCCGCGAAAACGACACGGTTCCGCCTGTGGTGAGACCGAGAGACGTCGAGTTGCTCGGGACTGAAAGAGAGGTAGTGTAGCTGTAAACCCCCCGTCTGACGCCGCGTCTATGGCTGTGGTTTGAACTGTCAGCTCTACGTTATTCCGGTTTGCGAAAGAATGCGCTGGCGGAGCCGTTCAGGACAAAATGGCTTCGCTGTGATCAGGTGAACGAAAAGCTGGAGTTTGATTGGGCGGGAGCAAGTGGCGTTCACGCGTTCGTGGGAAATAGCGTTGCCGCTCTTTACTTGGACTCTTGTTGTGATTCTTTTTTTGACACATGATCCATAAATCATTTGTCATAAAATGCTCTAACTTTTGGATAAATGTAACGTATCCTTTTTATATGTTTTTTTTATTGTACACGTTTTATTTTTAAAACTTTGTTTGTTTGTTTGTTTGTTTAGCATTGCTAGTCGACATCACAATCTCACGAACCTCCTGGCTCCTGCATTTCAATCATCAGCCGCAAGGACTCGTGAATTTAGTTTGGGAATCACTAGTGTTCATGAATGACTTGTCTTTGCTAATGTTTTATTATATTTTATGTACATTTGAAGTAATGTAATTTAAGTAGATTTAATGTTTTGTGCAAGGATCAAAGTCAACCAATCAGAGCTATTCGTGATCCAACAGTGAGACTAGAGTGCAATGTGCCTCTGTTGAAATATTTTTGGAAAATATATTCAATTTATTCAATATATTCAATTATAAATTAATGATAACTATTATTAATCACGTAAGGGTTTTACTGTATTATATTAGTATTAGCCTATATAATTTATATATATTGCACGTAGGCCTAACTGTAAAAATTTGATGTTTGAATTTTGCATTCTTATCTTTTGAAGTATAAATATGTTCGGAATGTCTCATAGAACTGCTTATGACTCAGTCACTCAACCTATTTTTATGTGACTAGCCTATATGTCTGCATGTCTCTCTGAAAACGACATCCAACTGTTTCAGAACCACAACAAAGCTTTCAGATGTCTTTGCCCTTGTCTATTCACATGTGAATGACTGGCTGACTTGTTGTGCTTTTCACCTCGTTATGACACCTGACGCATGAAGCAAAATGAAGATCAGAAACCATCCGTGCCCACCAGGATGAACTGAGTCGTTTTCTTTGTTTAATGCCCAATTAGAGAAGTGAGAAGATGTCCCAAATACCATTTGATCTGTTAATGAACACTAATTAAAAAATATTTAATTAAAAGACACTATATGTATATTAAAATAATACAACATATTCCACAAATGCCATCAAATAACAGACACAATAGATGAACAAACAATTCACACATTTTGCTTCAATTTTTTTGTTCTATATTAGATTTATACATAGGCCTACTAGAATGTAGTGGATAACAGTGAACAAGTAAATTATTGAAGTGTTAAAACATGTAGATAACCCTGAATTAAAAAAATATATATATACCTGACTTTCTCTAAAGTATTAAAACCCAGTGTGTCAAACATGAGGTAAGCAAAGGAAAATGTTTCAGAGGGGAAGTACAACATTTAAACACCTCTCTGTATGAGGAAGTGGTTTAAAGAGCAAAACCACAATGGTGTCAAGCATTGACTTCATCTGGGAGGAGCATGAGAACATGTCTCATTCTAGAAACGTTTTTATTTGTAAATAGTTCATTTGAACTTGTGTCACATATGACTATATATAGTCTACTTAAAAACTGATGACACTCTAACTATATGTCAGTGAGCTCTGAGGTTATGATGAACAAAGACACAACATTTGTGTAAGTAAACCTGTTTTATTCATGTTTTATTTCATCATTGTCAAAATTACTATCAAATTACTAAAAACATATTCATGGTGTGATATCCATATGCACAAAGACAATGCATTTGCAATGAACATTAATATGTTTGACACTAGAAAACACACAACATTAAACTGATCTACAAAAGTATTTCTATAACATCTAAAGTAGCAGATATTTTGAATACTTGCAGTTAGGTGATCTGAACAGCTGATGTGACAGCCCCATCTAGAGGAAAACAGATGCAACTATTTCCATGGCAACTAGATCCAGCAGTAGCCCTTGGCAACAGTTTCTGCAACTGACTGATCACTTCCTCAGGGAGCATCCTACTTAATTAAACAAGAGATGTTGACATGAAAATAATACAATATGATTCAAATTCTGCTTATAAATGTAATAGAAAGTTGCATTGGATGACTTTATTCTAAAAAAACGATTCTGGATCATTAGATCATTAAAAATAGCTAAAATCTATGGCCCAAAAAATTAGGTTTCAAATGGCTTGATAATTGTTTTACCTTGTTTTTACGAAAGCTCTTAATACATTCATTTAAAGTACAGTGTGTGGTATTGCAGAGGATTTGTGAGCGATTTCTCTTGACTGACAGAGCATCCATCCAAACCTGCTAAAATGGTTTACTCCTCCCTCTCATTCGGTCAACACTTGCGTCATCCGTATAGTCAAATGCTTGTCTCCGTAGATGCTAAATGAATTCTTTTACTGCCAACATACAGTCAGGCTTTAGAGCTGTGAATTTCACATTTACAAGTAGTCATTTAGCAGACACTTTTATCTCAAGTGAGTAACAAGCGATAAGCAATTTATTATACAAATTCTATCTTACATTTTAAACATTCTGATGTCCTTTAGATGACCCTTCAACTCTGTTACATGACTGAAAAAAAGTGTGATTTATATTTAAGTATTTCATAAGGAACATGGGAACATAAAAGCATAGGGGCATTCCTCAACCAATGTGTAATACTTAAATACAAAAGAGGGGGAAATACGCACATCCAAAACATCTTCAACAGGTGCACGACCGAAATGGAAAACTGCACCAAAAATCTGCACTGTTCAACTAAAATAAAACAATAACATTTTAATCAGAGATTTTCAGTGATCTCTGATTGAAACGTTGCGGTTTTATTTTGAAAATAACAGGAATAGTTGGCAGATTTTCACTGTTTTCAACCATATTACTTAAATATGGCAAAGCCTTGTGAACGCCTGAACATTGATGTCTATTTCCCCACTAAAGAAGACCAACATAAGTGCTTCAACACACATACCAATCTCACAGTCATGAATGCACACTCTCTTTCAAACAAAAGCTTCTATCACACCACTCCTGACATGCTCTCATCTTCAGGTCCAACAACTACAGGCTGGCAGCAGCCGGTGCAAATGTACCGCAGCACACAGAGGTAAACGCTGCCGGACAGTCCCACGGTCAGAGCCAGCAGGATCAGACTCAGGTACGATGGCCCAGGTTGGTAAGCAAATTCTGTGAGAATGTCACTGTCCATTACTGCAGGTAGGTCAGAGTTCTGGGCTGGTAAATTGAGAAGAGATGAGCTGTTAGTTTTATTTAGCAATTTATTTATTAGACAAGTCATAGCATCACATTAGCAATATTTTACCTACTGCTGTGAAATAACCTTTACCTGTCAGTTTGTGTACTGTATTTTATATTGCACATTGTTTTATTCTGTGTATATTTTCCAAAAATGCAACTACAAAATGTCCACCAGCCACAATAAAGTATCAAATTAATACATTTTAAAAGGCTAAGGCCATCTTCTTTTGTACATTGTATTGTAGAGCATGACAGCTGGCTGTCTAATAAAAGGCAGTAATAAACAGACCATATGAACAATATTTTATAAGTAAGAGAATCCAAGGCAGTACCTGAAATCAATGGAAAAATAAACAGAAGCAGCAATTCTGTATCCTTCCACAGCATTATGGAGACTTTACCGCTGGGTTTTAAAGCTAAAACACAGCAAAACATCAATTTAAATCTATTTAATTTTATTTTTACAAATTGCAAATTACTTTTGATGAATCCTTTCTGACATAACGTTTCTCTTAAGTGTGCTACTTACCAAAATATTTGCTCAAACTTGATTTCAGGAAAACATCTTGCACCGCCTCTTTCCGTTTTTTTCAAAGGTAATTTGGTCCCGACAGTCGTTAAACTTTCGATAAGCACGAAAGCCGGTAACAGTTTGCTGTCCAACGCACTTTTACGGAATTCCCTTTGATCTTTCCGTAACGACGACGCGCCGTGACACTATCGCATCCTTCTGTTGGAGTGTCGAAGGAGCAAATATCCTCATCGCTCGCCAATTCACGTTCCCCCACTACAATATACCTGTAAAGCGATCAATACACATTCGCTGGGGATGCTCTCAGACCTATTATTGCCCAAGGCTGGAAATACAGTACTTCTATAGGCGTGAAATAGGCTAATGCTCTCTCTCTCTCGATCATTAGCCCGTGCAGCTCACCCCCATATTGTTCCAAATGATAACATGTGCAATTACCCTTCAAAATCATAGAGCATCTTCAGCCTTCAATTGCACATAACGCTAGAATGAAATCACGCCCCAGTTGTACATTGCATTGAATTTGTGTAACGTTCCCACAAGTTCCCCGTTTTGTGAGGGTTCTTCTGAAGTGACGTCTGAGTCATTGTACGAAATGGGCCAATTTCCATTTTAAAATGTGTTTTATTTCTTAGATTTTAAAGATTGTATCATTCGAAGATTATGTTTGTAAATTATAATTTATAATAATAGCTCTGATATTATAACCAGTTGTTTGTTGTATAAAATGGTAAGTAGGCTGACTATTTAAAACCGCCTCCTTCTGACAAGCCTAACATTTTTTTTTTATTATTATTTATAGAAATGAGCATCCTTTTAATAAAAGGGAATTAGGATGGTAACAGGGTTTTTGCATAATCTGGGGACACAACTTCAAATCTTTTTAATATTATGTCCAATGAAATCAAAATATATAAAATAATGACATACCTTTTAATTACTGTATTATTTATTATTATTATTATATCAAAATGTTTATATATGCTAATACAGCAAGGATGGACATGAAAAAAAAATGAAAAAAACATAGTAAAGGTTGGTTAAAGCTTTTCATTATTCAAGCCATTGCATACACATATGTTCAGTGACACAAAAGGACATTTCTTTTTTTGCTGAAACATTTAACCGTCTCATATAAATTGCCATAAAATTATTCATCATCATGTCTGCTGAATAAAAAGTAGGCTTAGTAAAGGTCACTGTTAGACACGCTCCATGTGGCATACTCTTACATGGCAAAGACCACTTAAGCAGTCCAACAAGCAGAGAGAAATAAAAAATTTACATATATGATTACTGTATTGTGAGATGTTAAATTATAGCTACAAGATACATGCAATTATACAGATAGATTTACACAGTCCAAAACACCTGCTCAAATCATGTCAAAAAGTGAAGCCTATTTAGTAAGAGATCTGTGGGGATCCATAAATTATGGGCACCGGAGCATGGATGGTTGGTGCTGAAGAAAAACCTCTGCAAGTCAGACAAAACAGACATGGTGCAAAATTACTGCTGTGAGCAGACAGTAAGCATATGGGTCATGACATAAAAAAACACTCAAACATCCAGCCTCCTCGGTGTCAGCCGAGACACTTCTGCACAATTACTTGTCTGATCCTAATGCTTTCATGTTTTTGCATACGTACGCACGCACACACATAACACTTGACTGTGTGAATCCACTGCTGATTATTCACACTAATGGAATTCATTTTGTATGCTGCTGGCACATGACTGCTTAACTTTGAATTGAAGTCGCTATCATTTCAAGATCTTACATCATCCTTGATCTTTGATATAAACCTTATATACAAAATAAATATTTTTTTTTCTTTTGTATCAGCTATTATGTGTGAAAAATTGTCATGTGCAGGCATATCTCTAAAGAAAAAACATAGTTGGATCAGATATGCTTGTCATCTGTGATCTGCATTTTAAGTTGACTATTCAACTGTGTTTTTAGAGCTTCAACTATTGTGTACAAGCTTGCTGTAGACTGTGTTTAAAATAGCACACCCTACGCGATCACAAATACATGCACACATTTTTAGGAGGCAGAGTTTAAGTCAGAGGTTTTAACAGACACAAAGTCGAGACAAATGTGCACACACTGCTCTTCTGCTGCAGTATAACCACAAGAGCCTTATTTAGTTGCAAGTCTATAACATTAAGTATTTATCAGAGAAAACTCTGTGTAAACGCTGCATGTTTTATTGATGACATTGTTGTTTTTGGTATGTGTAAATGTAAGTGCATATAAATGTTAAGGCTTCATGGTCTTGTCTTTGCCACAACATCTTACATCAGCACAATCTGAAGGCCCAACAAAGGGTGTGACCGTTCTCTCTCTTTCTTTTTCTCTCTATATTTTTCTTTCCCATTCTGTTCAGTGTTCTTTTCACCATCTCACCCTATAATTCACTGTGGGGTTTTCTGCTGGACTGGAATGTTGTACAGACAGAACATCTAGAGTCACTGCGCTCTTTTAGGTTATAATCAAAAGCAGGGAGGATCAGTACACTAGGGTCTGATTCCACAGGAACAGCCTCCGTGTCAATGGCCATTACATTTTCTACAAGACACATGATGGCTGCATCAATGTTTGTGTTGTCCTGTTAAAAATAGGAAAATATAATATGAATAGAAATTCTTTTCAAAGAGGCATCTAGTCAATAGCTAGTAGGGCTGTCAAAAAAAAGTTAGAATTTCGAATATTCGTCGAATTTTTTAAAACAAATCCACATTCGAATGCAAAAACGTTGCATTCGAATTTTAGGTCTGCGTCAGCCGTCAGGCAGCCTAATCAGTGGCGCACGAAATGCGACGACGATGTAAGTGTCATCGCATTTTAATGCTTTTGTTAGCCTATCCAGCTGAACCCACTAGAAGCGACGCTGCTACGTTGTTCATTCAATATATTGCGGAAAACGAGAGCATCAGTGTGGAGAAGATGTCGTTTACGTCAAAACTGAAACCAAGCCGTTCACGCAGAATGCATATATATCACATTTTCTAGAGGGACATCTATCAGCGTTGCACTCGCGTCTCGCACAAGAGAGTGGCATGATTAGAAAGCCATGGAAAATTAATGTAAATTCAACTTTTAAAAAACATGTCTCAAGACTTTATGGCGGTTTTTCCCCATCCCACTGTATCTCGTGTTTTTACTTTTGTGACTGGTTTTCGGTCCTTTGTATTAAACTATACATACATGCATGGTACTGTTTTTTTGCTAATTGTTTAAGCAACTTTATTAATTACATATGGTTTATAAACATTATTTTAAACATTATGCAATTTTTTCAAAGATAGTCATGTTATTTTATTACGCTTTGAAGAAACGTGCATAATATTTTGCTCGATGCGCCCTCTTGTGGCCTCAGGAGAGAAGCCAAAAGCTTTTTTTCCCCCTAACTGAAATTATGCCTTTTAAATTCGAATATAATTCGAATTTTGATAATATTAAAGTGGAAAATTCGAATTGAGTTTTTCAGTCATTTTGACAGCCCTACTAGCTAGGGTTATATAATGAAATATATAGCCTATAATCAGTACCTTTGCAGACGTCTCATACCACCCCACAAAACCATGGTCCCTGGAGAAATTGTCGAGTTTGGGCAGTTTGGAACACAAACCATGTCTCTGTTGGTCACACTTGTTGGCCAGCAAGACAGCTGGTAGGGGACGCCCATTGCCAAGGGCAACTTTAGAATCAAGATCTTTTTTCCATTTCAACACAGCTTGGAAGGTGGTAGCACGAGTCATGTCAAAAACCACCAGCGCCCCAACGGCCTCTCGGTAGTACACACGTGTCATGTTGCCATACCTCTCTTGTCCTGAGAATAAATAGGAAAAAAAAGTGTAAGATAGTTTCTGTGTATGTTATTTAAAAGAATAGTTCACTTGAAAGTAAAAATTAGCTTCAAGTTTACTCAAATTCAGGCCATCCAAGATGTAGATGAGTTTGATTCTTTATATGAACAGATTTTGAGAAATTTAGCATTACATCACTTGCTTACTAATGGATCTTCTGCAGTGAATGGGTGCCATCTGAATGAGAGTTCAAACAGCTGATAAAAACATCACAATAATCCACAAGACTCCAGTCCATTAATTAATGTATTGAAAACTGCATGTTTGTAAGAAACACATCCATCCTTAAGGCGTTTTAACTTTAAACCACCACTTCTATTATCTATAATAATGCTTCTTCCAATAAATAAAGTCCATCCCCTGTTGTCCTCTCAACAAATCCACCGACCGATATTTGTTTAGAACTATTTTCGCTTATAACGGTGTATACGGTGCTTGATCTGTGCATATTTTTCTCCTGATTTAGTCATGATGATTTTTTCACTGGAGAAAGCAAAATTATGGATAGTCTTGAAGCAATGTTTTGAAATTAAATGATAATGAACATTCAGAGTTTTTTGCTCCACATATTCTGTTACACCAAATACACAAAATAATGATCTTTAAAAAAGCATCATATGACCCCTTTAACTGATGGACTGTAGTTGTGTGGATTACTTGTGATGTTTTTATCAGCTGTTTGAACTCACTTTCTGAAGGCACCCATTCACAACAGAGGATTCATTGGTGAGCAAAATCTGTTCCGACAAAGAGACAACCTCATCTACATCTTGGATGACTTTAAGTAATTTTTGTTCCCTTTTTGTATTGGTAATATTTTCACAAATTTTTTTCTTTTCTTAGAATGGCTAAACTTTGACTTTAAAGGCAGGGTATGTGATTTTTCAAAAACACTTTAGAAAACTGATTCGTGCCGAATCGCAAAACAAACTTGTAGCCAATCAGCAATAAGGGGCGTGTCTACTCGTGATGTGGAGGGGAGAGCTTTCAGTGCATGGGACGGACATTAGCTGAGCCGAGCGACAGAAAGATGGGGATGGCGGATAAAAAACAAAAGAGGAAAACGTCTGCGGAACGATAAGGCAAGAAGTAGGACCCGTGTAAATATCGGATCAGCTTTCCAGCGCTGGAGAGAACTGAAGGAGCGGAGGCCTGCGATCGGACGCCGAGGTTGCTATGTTTCTTCTCAGTAGGTGAGTAACACCGTGTCTACAACAGCTAAAGTCTGCCTACACTGGACGCGATCAAACGACCGTTGAAAACCATTTGAAATTTGTGTCAGCACGTCATAAATAGAGCCCGGCAGCAGTTTTCTGTCGGGATTTGTTGAGCCGCGCCGCTTACGTCCGTAGACACGGTGTAACATTGGTTTTGCTTTGTTTCACAGAACTAATCGTTGCCTGGGTTGCGTACATATATGTGGGGCGGAGCTATCAAAATAGGGGCAAGACCCTTTTGGGGTAGGGGCGTGTTTGTTTTGGTGATTTCAAATATCAACATTGGCTACCAGAAATCCCTTACTCTGCCTTTAACTTAAACACATTACTCAGCCATTCAGAAATGTGCATGAATTCCTTGACTGCAGACAACATAAACATCTTCCCATATCACAAATGACATGTGCTTGACCACACTGGAAAAGCAAAATCTTTAAGCTCTTTTATAAAATCTGTCAGAGCAGACAGATGCATTTCCATTTGAACACGGTTCACAATTTGTTCTGTTCACAATTCGACATGGTTAACTAACTGTGCCCTGTCATACTGATGGGACGCCTATAGTGATGATGACAGTATAGTACAGTATTTTTCTACACACATTTTCGGCAGGACGACACATTATGCTAGCTAACTCATTAAATTAATATATTACTACAACTTTGAATGGACATACGTATATTATCCCTATACTGTAATCATTACAAACACAAACTGTAATCATTGCCTAACATGTTTATTATGTCTGCTTAACTGAATATATCTTGAATTTAACTGAATTGAATCGAATCATACAATATTGTCAATAAATGTTCTTAGCTAGTCGGTGAACTTTTAAATTTTGATATGACACAATCATTCTCCACAGTGCGCACTAGCTTCAATGTTTACCTACAGTACCGCATTGTTTCCAACTCTTGCATCATCAAGGTTACATACATTTTAATCCTGATTTCATAGCACCAAATAGAAAAAGACGTGACCGGATTGGCAAGGTATTACAATGAGAACAGTTCTTTTATAGAGGATCTTAAATGGACCTAACCTGTATTAATGCATTATCATGGCAAATATTAAGGCGAACTGGGGCCAATTAGACTTTCACAGGGTTCACAGTGGAGTACCTTGAAATTTGATTTGTATGAGGTTCTGTGTGAGGTCATAAAACTACTACGTTCAATTAGGGATGACTGTCATGCAATCTTCCAGATACTCTTGAGTTAAATTCAAGCTCAGGAGCCACTCATAACACTGTCACTAACTATGCTAATAGAAACCTTTATTTAAATCTTTCCAGTTTTTGTTCATTTAACATTATTGTTGTTATCGTAAACCTGAAAAATAAAAGCAACTCTGTCTCTAGTTTTTAGAATTATGTAAACATATCTCTGAGTTTTCCAATCTGTCAGCCATGTTGAATTAAAAGCACTGTGGGAATGTTTTGTCCTGGAGTTGGTGTGTTTTTTTGTGTTTTTGTGTTTGTTTGTGTGTGCGTGTGCGTGTGTGTGAGAGGTAAAGTGTTTTCCACCAGTAGGTGATGCGAGGACCCTCACATGAGACCAATATAAGCACAAGACCAGTGAATATAAACACGAGACACACATTCCTGTCCCTGTGCTTCAGTTTATTCCAAGTATAAACACAGAGAGGGATTCATACCACTGTGACATCACATACACCAGCTGAGAGCAGGAAAATCTCAAACAAGGCATGTTATGGACTGTAATGGCATTGTTCAAGCCAAGTGTTAAAAACATTACTCCAGTAACATTTTTCATCTCTTTCCGTCTTTCTGTATAGCCTACTGTGTGTGATTATTTTTCCAAGGAATAACATTATGTGGTGCATTTCCACTGTGTACGGTCAATAAAAACAGTGCTAGGAAACTGAAGGTTAGAAAGGGCTGAAACTTGTCTGACATCATATTCTTTTTGTAAACACTGTAAAATGTTTTTATCTTTTTATCTAAACAGTTTTGGTTCCATCCATTTAATGTGTCACAAAACTTAATTTGTACTGTATTTTGTGAGTTTTGCCAGTTTTTTTTTTTCAACAGTAAAGTCAAAGTGTATTACTGCAGATTTTGGCACCACTTTGATTATATATTTAAGACGACTGAAACAGCTGCCTTTTATGTATAAATGTAGGTAGCTGACAGATATCATAGGCATGATCTTTTAGTGTTTGAGTTTGAGGTACAAAATGGCATGGATAATATAAATAGCCATACAAGAATCAGAAAATGTTGTGTAGAATAGTTTAAGACGCGGTACGGCATGTCATATCGCTTGAAGGCTCCTCTCAACTACCCATATGCTCATTTATTTACATAAGCCTATTGACTTTTTAGATAAAGCAGTGACAATCATTAACATTGCAGGCAAAGACAAGGAACTATACATAACTTAAGCAACTGACCTGCGATGTCCCACAACTGCAGTCGAATGACTGTCTGGTGATCCCAATTCAGGACTTTCAGAGCAAAATCAACACCGATAGTCGCGCGGTAATGTTGAGAAAAAACCTGATTCACATAACGCTTTATGATGGAAGTCTTCCCCACACCTAAATCTCCAATGACAAGTACTTTGAGTAACCTCTCCTGCTGCATGTCAGCAGTCTAGAGTACATGACACTTTTATCCAAAAGAAAGAAAGCTTTCGTTTTATGTAAAATTAAAGTCGTGCTGGACGGAGTTCTCACTACAGGTTTTCGTGGATAGTAAAAATGACAAACAAAACGAAAAAAATTCACTGCGAGGACGCGCGCTTACAGCTGTCAAATAGTGCGTTTCAAAAAAGCATTTCTTCAAGAGGTGAGAAGTTTCGCACTTCATTTGCCTGACTGTCGACAACTTTTCATCGCGCTGTCGAGTCATTCAAGTCAAATATCCTATACTGCTGATCTGTTCAAGAAGCCCATCACAGTGTGCCAAACTGAACTTTAGGACTGGAGCGTTTAGTCCAGGGTTTAGTCTCGAGAATAAACTACAACTCCCGTCATACTGGTTATCTGGTTCGTATGTTCGTAAAACTTTAAATAGATGGCGCACAAGAAATGTAAATGCCCATGTAGGCTACAGTATAAAGAAAATGTATAGCCTACTTAAGCTAAGTAAAACTAAAGGAAGATAGTTTACCCCAGAAGGAGTAGCTACAGACTATGCCATAGGCCTACTACTTTTTTTATGACGTTTTTAACCGTTCTAAATGTACATTTATCAAAACAATATTTAAAATAATTTCAGTGCAATACTGAAAGACTTTATTCGTTTAGACGATTTTTAGAAGTGGGATAGATCAACAGGAAAAATGGGACCGTTTTCAATTAAAAACAAAAGGATGTAGGCAGCATAGTCAAACATTCAAATCTGGCACTTTTAAAGTAGGCTAATTGAAAACCTATTTATATGTAAAAAATAAAAATAGAAAAAAATTTTTTTTTTTTAAATCAGTAGGCCTATGTTCCCCAAGATCAGCATAAAATTATGTATGAAACAACATAAGTGAGTCAAAGAAAGAAAGCATTGAAATATTTAATGTCTATGGCTGCTATTAGGAGGATTGTGGTACTGGTGCTGATGCGGGATGAGTCAGGCTATATGATGCTTCCTACTGTCGCTTACATTTCATCAGCACAAAACATCCAAACATTTCTCCATCTTCCAAGCGTGGATCAAAACATGACAGGCATAAATCATCTTTGACTTTTACGTGACTTTGATCCAGGCAGGGGTCATTTCAACAACACGCCGACTCTTCTTTAGCAACATCTAAGCAAAATAGACCGCCTACACGGCGCTGTTTGATTTGCACCTGTTTGTTTGTTTGTTTTTCCGTAGAGACGAATGTTTTGTTTATTATTCGGTATGTTATGTAAATAGTTTATGTCCGTCGTTTCATCCAGCGGTTTCTAAAGAGGCTTCAATCCTTTAAAGATTATGGAATCTGCCGTTTGGTAGCTTTGAACCGACCAAACAAAAACAACGTAAGTAAAGAGCACCGAATAAGGGACCCTCTACACAGATGCTTCTACACAAAGACAACGCTTTTTAAACAGTTGTCTCTTTTGTAGATATAGAACAGTGAAATCTCAGTAATCTAACAGGCATCACATAGCCTACTGTCAGTAGGTCATGTTACTGTTAGATTGGTTGTATTCAGTTGCACATGACTAAGAACATATAAACACATATTGCATTAAAACAAATTATTATGTGTAGCCTATATTCTTCCATTACTGAAAAAGAGCATTAAGTTAATACTAAAATAGTATGGCAATTATATAGAATTGGCTATATATTTGCTATATTTAAAAAATGTCACATCATAAGCTGTATTTTAATGATAGATAAAGAATACACCACCAGATCTTTATCATAGCTGATGCAGGCCTTAAAATCAAACTCTGAAAGGCTAATTTTGTGCTTCAACTACTTTCCCACAGAAAGCAAGGACAGAGATAACTACAACACATCCGCAGAAGAGGTTACAAAAGCTTTAAAGAGAAATTCGCTCTATTTGCTCCTTTTAGTAAACTGGTAAAGCAGGCTGGCAAAAAAACGTGGGTGAATAAAATAAAGAATGTGTCTTTCTCTTTTCTGTTCTGTCCTTGGAATTGGAAATCATGAACGCATGTTTTGGCAGCATCTAATTCACTTCTCTTCTTTTTGCTTTGACAGACCTGAATAAACATGGAGACAATTTGGCTTTACCAATTTCGACTGATTGTTATTGGGGACTCCACTGTTGGAAAATCGTGTTTAATTAGACGATTCACAGAAGGCCGCTTCGCACAAGTGTCGGACCCGACAGTCGGGGTAGATTTTTTCTCCCGCCTGGTGGAGATTGAACCTGGGAAACGCATTAAACTGCAGATTTGGGACACTGCAGGCCAGGAACGCTTCAGGTATTGTAAATCTTTATCTTGGATTATGTTACATTAGACCGTTCTCATGATTCTGCATCACTGTAAATAGCCTAACTGTCCAATAATTTATTGATTGTTCATAGGGTGGATGACTACATTTCATATAAAGTTGTTTAGGTGGTTTGCCTCATAAAATTAAAATCCTATAGACCCCTAATTCCATAAAGATGTATGTCTATGAATAATATCACTGTTTATTAGCTCAGAAAGATTTTTATGCCGATTGGCACATTATTTTACATATTTAACTATTGTACATTGTCAAATAGTTGCTTACACATCAAGAGAAACCTCTGTCTTAAGTTAAATCATCAAGCTTATCTGATCAGGAGTCCCTATCCATCCACCTGATTGGTGTTTCCATGGTATCCGTGATGATGTATTTCTCCCAGACTTGATGACAGACTGATTCACACGTCACTGATTCTTTTTTATATATATTCACCCTAGGTGATTCAGAGATACTGTCTATATTTGCTAATGAATACAGCTCAAGGTCTCTTTACCAACAAACGTTTTTTTTGAGGAACTCCTACAGGAAATATAAATATTGGTGAATCACTGCCTTCTACAATGTCACAAATGTCTGACATAAAGTGATGTCAGTAACTCCAGAGGCCCCTCGGCATCCTTCACAGCTCAGTGCATTCCCAGCAGTACTCCTACACAAGCTCAGACTTTTTTTACAGTCTCACTCTGATGCCTTTTTACACATTTTTTTCCATCTACCTTGTTTTCCATCTCTGCCTTCTGTTGCAGGTTTACATTTCCTGTTCTCTCCGCTCCTGTCAAACACACAAACGCCTTTCTCATATTCATTTCTAGTTTTACAGGACAGATTCTGTTGTACATCCACACTCCACTTCTCATAAACGCGTAGTTTGATCATCTTACTTATTTCTAGACGCTACACAATACCTTCAAATCTTATCTATCTACAAACTTTTTAACTTTTTTCTTTCAGACAAGGCATTTGACTTTATCATATTGTTTCAAAATTTCTACCTTTCTAGTTATAATTAGTTTATTTCAACTCATTAAAGTCACAATGCACCACAAGTAGTGACAGATTTTTTCTTCTGTATTGTGACGAGAGAAGTGTAGAACATCTTGGTTCAGTCCATCAGTTGTTGATTGGATGGAGGAGGCAGGTCTGAATGCAAACTTTCAGTCAGTTCTAACAAAGGTGTGAAATTTCCAACTAATCTGTTGTTTTACCGAAAGTCATTAAAATTTGATTTGAAAAAGATTCCAAATCAGATCAATAACATGCATTTAGAAAAGACATTTCATGCCGACATTAATTCTACTTGTTTACATTTAAATTTGAATTGCAATTCTGCATCCTGTATACTACCTCAATTCAAATTCAGGAACATGGTTTCATTTTGTTATGCTTTCTTCAGGTCCATTACCAGAGCATACTACCGTAACTCCGTGGGAGGTCTGCTGCTCTTTGACATCACCAACCGTCGCTCCTTCCAGAATGTTCACGAGTGGCTAGAAGAGGCACGCAGCCACGTGCAGCCCCACAGCATTGTCTTCCTGCTGGTCGGCCACAAATGTGATCTGGAACCACAGCGTCAGGTGAGCCGGCAAGAGGCCGAGAAACTAGCGGCTGCATACGGCATGCGCTACGTGGAGACTTCAGCTCGTGATGCCATAAACGTGGAGAGGGCTTTTACGGAGCTAACACAGGATATATTCGAGCTGGTGAAGAGTGGGGAGATTACCATCCAGGAAGGTTGGGAGGGAGTGAAGAGCGGGTTTGTACCGAATGTGGTGCATTCATCAGAAGAAGTGACAAAGGGCGATCGCCGGTGTTTCTGCTGAGTCAGTAATCGCCACCCTGGTACCTATCAAACATTTGGGCCCCGGTGGACAAAAAAACCCTGCTTCCTCCAATCACAGGGTCAGTCTTCAACTCACTGATTATGACATCATCACCCCTTTCCTGCCTGCTGAATGCCTAAACGAGTCCCACCATGCCATATTGCTTCACTTTTCTATACTACTTTGCTCATTTCCCTAATCACACAATCTTGTAAATGGCCAAATTGAACTGCTAAGAATGAAAGGTTATAGCAGAACTGCTGCTGAAAGGCCGGTCAGAACTATATCTGCACTTTAACTGTAACATCTCTTATTCATTCTGTTGAGCCACGAAAGTTAGAATTCCCAAATGAAGATGCTCTGGCTTTGGACATCTCCAGTATCGAGAATAAGCTTGTTCCAGGTATCTTCTATTGGTTGTATCATGGGGCAGATAACTGACTAGCACAAGTTTTACTTGCTGACTTTAACGATGAATGCTGGGATATGCGTTTCTGTTGACTCAAAGATCTCAGACTTGAAACATTTGACTGCTGAAGGTGTCAAGAGTCTGATTATTTTAGTAAAGGCAAACGGAAAGGAGATATACTGCAATATACTACATGAAGAATTCCAAGACTGGAAAAACACAATCTGTAATGATTCCCATATGAACAAAACTAGATTTTCAATTGTAATTGAAATGGTGCAAGATACACGTCACCTGATATGATAATCCATCATATCACCCAAGAGGTTCATTTTATGATCTAATGCATATATTCATGAGACTACTGAAAGTAGATCCATGAGCCCCAGATGGATTAATAAACGTGCATTATTTTACAAATATTAACATTTCACTTATCACACATTACCACAAGAGGCCTCTGGTGCTCACCAGAATTACAAAGAAACCTTAATCAGTTGTACTTAAGTACATCTTTTACACCTTTTATCCCAAAGAGTGTTTCTGATGTTACAGCTTGTGATTGTACTAATGTGAAAAAAGCAAGCTCTTCCTATAGGTTTTCTAATGGCCCAGTGAGGGCCATTGACCTTGTACCATTCACACAAGACATCTGTATCTATAGAGCTTGCATCGCCGTGTATTTAACCCTTACTTTATTCATCTATAACATCTTTACTTTTTGAAATGACTTGCTCTTCACTTTTACTCTCACCCCTACGAAATATATCCATATTCCATTGGAGAAGATGTGTTGATACTGTCCATAGCAGTGCACAATTGGCCGAGTAGTTAATCTGTCACATTATTGGATAACATGAAGCCATTTCAAAACATGGCAGACGGGGTCTCAGCTAAGAACCAGAGGAGTTTGGATTGGGTTGACCACTTGCTCGCTCTAGAAGCTTTTTGTGGCTGATGTGGATTTGCAAGGACTGGCTGTACAAACACTGTTTCAGTGAATTTGAGACACCCTGTACCTCTTCATCAAGGGAACTTGAAATGTACTACAGATTAAAATAACATATTAAAAATGTTCTGGTTGTATATTATAACTTCATTAACATTCCACCCACGACCTGTAGGAATTGAGGGTCATTGTACAGTTCAATGATGATATTATCATTACAGCTGGTGTGCTGCTCCAAAAGCATGTAATTAAAAGGCAATAGAATATCAAGACAAAATCTGTAGTTTCAGTACTGCACAAGTGATTGTCAAAGATTGAAAGAAATGGACAGATTTGCAGGCACATATTTAATTAGTTGGTTTCATCAAAGCTTATTCATCCCGCTCACTGCCAGAACCTCAATCAGACGAGGAATTATAAAAAAAGCTACTGTACGCAGATTAAAAACACAGACCATCTCATCGATTTTGAGCCTTTTCCCAAATCGCTTCATTATTAGTTCCTTGTTCAGTGTTTAATGGCTACAATGTGACAAATGAGTACAGATGAAGGACAAGAGATGAACAAACAGACATCAGAGAAGGAAGGAGGCTGATAAATGAAACAGAATGCCCCCTGATATTCTGCACGCTGCATTTTGACAAAGATCTCACCAAGATTTGGCAAGAAAAATTCCACAGAAAGAAATTTGAGGGCCATAGGAGTTTAAACACTTTTGCTTTAACAGAACTGGAATTTCAGAATTTTACCAAACAACAAATGAGTGGAAAAAGAGCACAGAGGAAGACAAATGTGTAGACTCTGTGGAGAGAGGCCCCCTCTTAAACAGCGAATAATTCAGCATTAAAAAAAGAAAAGAAAACTACCATTATTACTTTTGTTTGCTGTTTTTTCACCTTTTTACTTGAAAAAATACTTTAAAAAGTAATACATCAATAGATGACAGTTGGCGTTGGTGCAAACAGATACATGGGGGTGAATGTTCTGATGGGGAAGTATTTTGGGTGGGGTGGGACCAAACTAGGCCTCCTCTTCTAGGACCGCTCAGCAGATTTGAGGAGGTTGTCTTTGCTCCTTCTCTTGACATCCCAATTGTAAACACGTGCCATATCTGGGAGAGTAGCGGTTAAGGGGGGATCTGAAAAAGTATTTCCTTACACTGCCACTTGAAAGAACATGTTACACTTAGAGCTAACTTTCACTAATGCTTTCTAACAGGTGGCATTTATGGCCTGTATCTGATTTAACCAAGGAGTTCTTCCTTGAAAGAAATCCACAGCTGTCAAACAAATGTCTGACTAACCATTAAAATACATCACAGTTTGCAGAGATAGAGAATGTGATATGAATTTTGTATAGAAATATTTTTACTTGATTCACTCATTGATCACATAACCAACACTAAACATACATAAATATCTGCACTGATAAATATTAACGTTTCCAATCACATTACAGCTATGACACTATTGCTTCTTTTCCACCAAAATGGTGCTGTGCATAACTCCATCTCATTCACAGCTGGCCTCATTGCTAAATCTAAACAAGATTCATTATTACATATTTGATAACAAGCAACAAAAGGAAGTGCCTTAATGCTCTCCACTGCTCTACACATCACATACTGCACAAAAAGCAAATAGTGAACAGCTTAATCTCTTTTAGATGCATGCATACACTACTGTTCAAAAGTTATGGGTCAGTAAGCTTTTTTTTTTTATAGATTATTATTTCTGATCAAATTAACATGTCCTTGCTGAATAAAACTAAGAAATACATTTATAATTTTACAAAACTTTCAATTCATTTCAAATCAATGCTTTTCTTTTGAATTTTCTATTCATTAAAAAAATCCTTAAATTAAAATTTTTTATCATATTTTTAACAAACATTTTTGAGCAGCAAAGGATCATGTGACACTGAAGACTGGAGTAATAACGGCTCAAAATTCAGCTTTGCCATCATAGGAATAAATTATATTTTAAAATATATTTAAATAGAAAATGTTATTTTAAATTGTAATAATATTTCTCAAAATTACTGTTTCACTATATTTTTTATCAAATAAATGCAGCCTTAGTGAGTATAAGACACTTTCTTTAAAAAACATTAAAACATCTTCCTAAACCCAAACTTTTGAATGGTAGTGTGTATATCTGACAAGCTATTGATCTGACATTTACATTCACATTTTCACCAAAGACAATTATTAACTTTAAAAGATTTTAGGTAAAGAACTAATCAAATGCAATGAGCACATAACTGTGGAAAAGAACAACTACAAACCTGAGTCTCTCTATATATTTGCCATTTTTTAAGGATACTGACTTCAGTGGTTGTGAACTGGTCTCTAAGGAAGTCCAGGTCCTCTTCCAGAGAGTCCAGATTCCGGGAAGCTGTAGCCAAGTTTTTCTCCAACAGTGCCTGGGCCTCATCAATATCATATTCCAACATGACATTAGCCTGGTACACAAACACAAAAAACATGGCTATAAGCTAGTTTGACATATTAGCAATTAACAGACAGGCATGTGATACACTGCTAATCATGCAAACAGTTTCATTAGTTCACGAGGAGCTTAAGCTGTACAATCCCCTACCAACCCTCTTACAACACAACTGAGCTGCACAATAGTCTAAAAGGGAAAAGCTATAGGCAGAAAACATCAACACTTTGGATATTGAAAATGTCAAAACAGCAATATTCAAGTACCAAACTATTTTTATTTACATAATATGATGCATTTCTAATTGACCAACTCAGGTGAAAAAAAAAAAAGACCAGCCTGATTATATCCATCTGTAAATTATCTGTGACTGGAGATATAACTGGTGGTTAAGAAATTAAATATTATCAATTGTTTATTTCATGTTCACTATTAATACAATGACACACAGTAGTCAACACTTACCCCAAGCCACAAACACACTTTATCTGTGGGTGGGACAGAGGCTTTGCAATAGACGTTATCAGCCAACAGAAAATGTGTCTCCATGAGATCTGTAGTGTCCTGTGATTGGACATGCATAATTAAGAACAGGAAAACAAACAATTAATAGATGAGACAAAGTGTGAGAGGTAATAAAAAAAAATCGACAGAAAACAAAACACTAATTTAAAAGCACATTTTTAGGCATTAGAGAGTTGATCTTTGATTTGCTTCCCTCCAACCATTTGCATATATGGAGATATGGGAGTTAGATATTGTGATAGGCTCACCTTCTTTGTCTGCATGTGCCGTAGGATTTCTAACGTCTGTTTGATTTGTGGGATCTGGCTTTTCAACCTAAGAAACACAAAAAATATCAGAGTCAAGTGGAATTAGCGACAATATTTTATGCTTACTCTGAGTAATTAACCTGATTTTTTTAAAGCAGCAATAAATCACTGTTTATTTGTTCCTTATAACAAAAGAACAACAATAGTCGACAATGATGCAAGGACACTGGTAGCCAGTTAAACAGACATAGTCTGTATAGAAAGAGCATCCTTTAGAATTGACACAGAAACTAATCATTGCCTATTACTCTACAGCGTAGAATAGATCAAAACCAAACCTGAGTTTCTTCTGAGCCAGATTGAGCTCCATATATTTATATTTCTGATACTGTTCATCCAGCTTCCTCAGCACGGCGTCTGCTGTGTCATTGCCCGGCTGCTTCATGAATGCATCCACATCTTCCTATAGAACCACAGTTACAGTTCACATCTCAATAACCACATCTTATGAGCTTCCTTAATGAATTACATCCGATGAAGTACTTAAATACTGATTAATCGTGTGTTATCTGTC